CAAATTTTAAATTTTTTAATCCATTTGTATTCAAATTGAATACAAATTTCAAGTTTTAAAATAATAAAATTTGATAGTTTAACTATATTTAAATGAAGCTATTTAAGGTAATTAAAAAAAAAACCTGGATTTTTTTTTATATTTCTTACATGTTTCTTTAAATTTTGTGATATTTTTTATAATATTTTTCTCCTTACAACATTATTGGTATTATTTACATCAAAAAATAAAATGAAATACAATAGTTTTTTTAATGATTCCAATAAAATAAATAATAAAAGTTTCAGTTTAGATAGTTATAAATTGGGTGATACTAGTAATGTTGCTACAAGTAGTTTTTCAGAGGCATTATTGAGTAATAAAATAAATTATAAAAGTAAAGTGTAGAATCATTTACAAAGAATTCTGATTCCAATAAAAGTAAAAAAATTTTCTGCAATTATTGTAGTACCAAATATACCTGTAATGGAAGCAACACCTTTAATCTTTTCAAACACCTAAGAAAAACCATTCAATAAAAATAAATCCACATTCTGATAAACCTTTAATTGAAAATTTTTTAATTCTACAATGGTTAGTATAAATATATTTATTAAATTTAAAACCATGCTAAAATTTATTTTTTATATAGTGGATACATAAACCTAAAAAAGTAAAACAAAATCTTATTTGATGGATTGTCATAAACCAACACTCTTTTACGATTGTAGAGGAGTCAGCATTCTGTATATTTATCCAATCAATCTCACAAAAAACTAAAATACTAGCTTCTACATCTGTTAAAATATATATAATGAATTCATACTTTGCTGATCAAGAAAAAATTAAAAAAATTTTGTAAGAAGTGAAAAGTCATATTTCATTTATCCTTGATATCGCGATATCAACTTCAATAAAAGCATTTCTAGTAATAACTGTATATTTTATCAGCAGTAATTGGAAAATACATGAATATCAATTTTCATGTTTGGCACTTATAGCATGTGATTATTTGATAGTACCTATAATGAGTATTTCATCAAAACAAGTTTTTTTGGTAAGCAAAAATTTAATAACTAATAAAAGAAATTGGGTATTAGACAAAACAGTTGGAGCATATATATACTTAAAATCATGGTGAAAAGGACCTTTGACAAGAAATGCTGGTGATTCATTTTAAATTTTATTTTTTTTGTTGTATTGTTTAATGTATTATTAAAACAATATTTATTATTTGGACATTTTTAAGGTTAAAAAATTTTTAATGAAGCAAGTAACCTGTATGTTACAGTACTTATATAATAATACTATTATAGTATCCAATATAAAACTTATATAGGTCAATTGATACAAGTTGCTATAATTGTTTGGATAGATAGTAATTGTTAAAAATTAATTGATATAAGAGTGATCTACAGTAGAAAAACATGATTAGACAATAAATAAAAATAAACTTTTTTGATTTTTTTGTCAATTTTTTATTTTGCTTCTTTTTACTTTTATTGCCTGCTATCAGGTATCTTGCCTAGGAATTTTTTTTTTACCTATAAATGTTTTTTTTTTGTTTCTTGCTAGTTTTCAACAAAATATATATATCTTTTTATATATTGACTAAACAATTAATTTTTTTTAAATATATATAGTTGTCTGTCACTACATAGCTACAATTGAAGATATATTTTTATTACTTGCTAATGTTTTTACACCTGTTATATTAACTGCCTTTGCATTTGCTGCAACTATATACTCAGTTCTTTCTTTTTCAACTAAATAAACTGACACCTTTTTTAATTACTTTAATTGGTATCTTTTATTAACTAAATAACCTGGCATCTTAATTATCATTCAAACCTTTACATCGATTTATTGTTCCCACCATATTTACAGTTAAGTAAATAAAAGGCATTTGATATTTTGTTGCTGTTGCACTTTATATATATTTTATAAATACTGGTATAGGTAATATGATGCATATTTCAAAGAAACAGAAATAGATTGAAACTAATAGTGTGTAAATCGATTGAAGGGGGGAAACAAAAATCAAAAAGTCTTTTACCTAGCAAATATATAAAGTTGCCTTCAGTAGGAAACCCTGAATTAATACTTGTAGGATGACCTTCATAAAAGTGTAACTAGCTGTTGTTGATAACATTTGATATTGGCTCCAGTGGGAAACCCTAGACTAATATATTAAATTTTGTCGATAAAATACTAGGCAAACTTAAATCTTTTATATTGCTGCTATTGCCTTCATTGGGAAACCCTGGACTAAAGCAAGGCTTTCAAAAACATTTAAGCAGGCATATGTATAGTTGCAAGTTAAATTGTTGACAATTTAACTTGCAGCTAGTTTATCAATTTCCTGTTGCAATGGCAAGTTGTACATATTATATATACTGTAGCTAATACTTATTTTTAAATATCTATAGAAATTTATACTGCTGTCCTGCATTTCCTTGTATTATTGAAAAATGATAATTCTGAGGAGTATATTACCTACTTGCAAAACCTTTTTACTAAATTAACAAGTGTTCACCTGATTGTATCTAATCCTAATATCAATTCTTTTTTAAATGTAAATATATCAAAGTATATATACTTGCTGTATATATTTTATTAATACTAATAAAAAATAGAAAAATTGGTAAAAAGAATTTGTGAGGTTCCTAAGATTTTGCTATGCCAATAATATAGAAACTACAGCTGTTTTGAAAACAGATATCAATGAATTGAAAAAAAATAAAATAAAAAAACATAAAAATTTTATAAATTCAAATAGTTTTAATAATAAAAAACCTAGTTAATATTTTTATATTTTCAGATAAGGGAGAATTTTATAATACAAAAATACTTTGCTGATATACATAACATAAAAATGATATTTCTTGGACTCCTGTCTAGATATAATACAAAAAAAATCAAAGAAAAGTGGATATATAAAAAAATAAATCCATTGTTTTCACATGTACAAGTCATTAATACTACCTCCTGCCTGTCAAATGTAATAAAAAAAATGAGAAAATTATAATTCATGACAAAGATTTAGGCAAAATAGTGCTTGCTATATATCGTAATCAGATTGAATCCAAAGTTTTAAATATTATACAAAATATAGTGCTGGAAATGTTTAAACTATGAAGAAAGGTTGCCTGATCTGATAGTATATTGAAACTTAATCAAGGAGTATTGGCAGCTGTTGGGTATATAAAATTTATATATATTTAATTTTATACTTAAATAGTATTGACAACAAGTTTTAGATATCTGTCAACAAGGGAATGTGGAATTTTTACACATGTTTTCAATATACCAAAAGAGTAAAGAGAAACAAGTCAACAGTACCTGCACAAAGAAAAAGTTGTTACAATAAATAGCTTCCTATTTAACTATGCAATAAGTATTTTTCCTACCAATATGACTTCAAGTATATAGCAAAAAATTATTGAGTATAAATATCCAAGGTTTAATGAAAACAAATAAGAAGTAGTCAAAAAAGACATTTCAGTTTTTTATGATAAAAAGGAAATCAAACTTAACCATCTCTCGAATTTCTGTGAAGTATATGTATTCTAAATATATAGCAAATTTGTCTATACCGATAAAAATTTTCTGATTATGCAATTGCAGTTAGCTACCTTAGAGGAATTTGCTTTAAAAGTGATCCAAAATTTACTTACTAAGAAGGGAATTTCAATGGAGACAACTTCTACATAATTAAATAGGAAATAAAAGTAGAGATAACAGGTATTTTTATGAAAATAATAAAAAAGTTTGGAATATAAAATACTAAGTTTTTATTTAAATTTTTATACAAGTCAACACTCTTTTTTGCTGGCCAGAACATAAGTTACACAGCACAACTGTTTTGTTGAAGGAAGGTGTAACTAGTGGTTTATCACAAAAACTAGTAAAAAAAATAGTATCATTAATTAAAAAATCAAAAGAAAGAACTGCAAAAGAAAAACATATGAAGTATTAGCAAGAGCAATTGCAATAAAATCCTCCTGCTTTGTTAGTACTGGAAAAATTGATAAAAAAAAATCAAGGCAGTAACAATACTGCAGAAAATTTAAATTATACAGGTATATATTTTAATTTAGAAGAAAATGGTTATGAATAGAATAAATTATAAATATTAAAAATATAAATTATTAAGTAAATGTTTATAAATAAAACCTAAAGATGGTAAGCAAACATTAGATAGGGAAAAAGAATGGTTATATATCAAATAAAAATAAATTTGTTTGGATATAGATCAGATCAAATAAAACTAATCTGATCAGATTTGAATTAAATTTATTTAAAATCTGATCCAATTCAATTCATTGCAATCTCTAGTGATAATATATGAATAATTAGAAAAAAGTATTTAAGATTATTAATAAATATTTGTGAAATCAAAATTTATAATTTTTGATTTCATTAAGATAACAAAAAATTCTTTAAATATATAGCTTATTTGGAATATACATTTGAAATTAGATAAATAAAACCAAGATTTTGATATTCAAATAATAATAATAATAATTATTATTATTACAATAATATAGAATATATCTTATTGGTCACTTAATCTGTAAGTATAAACTGACATGTTCTTTATATTATTTATTATTATTATTTTTATGTTTTTCAGTTTTCAAATGTTAATTAACTGAAAACTTTTTTTCATAATTTACTACACAGTTGCAAAAAACACAAAATATTTTTTTTACCTTTTATGTAAAAATTTTCTTGATAAAGGTACTAGTGGTAATCATTTTTTTTTAATAGATGATCAAAAAAAATTGCGCTAACTATAATATGCTATAACTGATATGCTAGATATGCGTCCGATATGCTGGATAAGCATAAGGTGACAAATATGAGGTCGCATATAATATGCGAAAAAAAGGCCGCATATGCATAGTGCTTATTTCCGGCCACCCTATCACATTAGCCATAGAAATCAAAAGTTCGTACAACATTAAAACGCGTTTCCCTATCCCTAGTATTAACGCGTTTTCATCCTTGACACTGCCATGTCCGATGTTATCAGAGAACCACGACTAGAAGCAACCAAATTCTTCAAGTATCAGATAGGCAAGAATGCACTTTGCGTTCACGAATTTTTTAAGAGTGTCTATGCCTCACGGTGGTCACTAAGTGCCTTTGTCAAGTATATTGCTAAGTTGGAGACTGGTCTGTGTTTTGAACAACTCTTCAAAGTGTATGTTAAAAGTTTGGATCAAATTTGTGTGCTACTCGTTGTTCCAGCTTGTGTTCGAGCATTTGCTCAAAACTATTTGAAATGGCTGGAGGTATGTACGTGATTATTATTTCCTAGATTTTTATGACATGTACAGTATACTGATATTCGTCGTTTCAGACGTGCACGGGCAAGACACTGGTAAACGAATACAGAGAATATTTTTTAGCTAAAGTGACGTTGCAAGAAAAAACTGAACTAAAAGACGTACTCAAAGTATGTTGATGGGTACAATACGTTACATAATACATAATGATACTCATGTTGTAATTTTTTATAGGACACAGTGAATGTTACTGCGCAAGCGGAGGCATACCGCGCATATATCACTGCACCAGTTGTGCCAACAAAGTCGAGCACATCCTTCTCGGAAGATCAACTCTCGGAGTACCACACTCAGCAAACAGACGGGACATACACAGGTGATGAATCTGACCGGGGTACTGACGAAGATGTTCAAGAAAGGGTTAGTTGATTTCCTTTGAATTCAATGATTCGTATTGACATTGAATGTTACTATTGCTCTGTTTTTGAGATCAATATTGAAATAACTCTGTGTCTTTATAGCACAATGATAAGGTAGACGAAGAATTAATAGAAGCTTCCGCAGAAAAAAAGCGAAAATACGAGGATGACGTGAAATCGGCAAAAAGAGTAACGACACAACTTTAGCGGTGTTTTTCACACTAGTTCACGTGTTTACATTGGTTGAAAATAACTGATATATATCAATTTTTAATTCAGTCTAGATCACGTTATGAATCACCGTACTCGTCATCTTCATCTGAACCAAATCCTTTTCTAGTTGGAAATCAGAATGACCATAATATAGACGAAGAGGGTGATGAATTCAATGCATATTTAACTATTGTCGGTGGGAAAAGCGCTGATTGGATTATTAATGGGAATAATATCAGAGAAAAGCTAACAAATTATCAACTTGAAGCAAATCCACCTAAAACCCATCCAGAATATTATGATATTATTTTTTTCAATTTAAATGACGAAGGCGGTTTCCTAAGTACGTTAGACAAAGGTATTGTTGCGCAGATGCGTAAGGACATAAAGATGGCAGAAGTAGACTCAAAGAACCAAGAAATTAAATTATTTATGAAAAATATTATTGACCGCGATATTAAGAAGACTAAAGAAAATCTTAGTCATCGAAATACTGAAACAATTGACTCGTTTTAAAAGAGGTTCACGTTACATTTTGTGAACCATATGTAAATATATTTATTTGATTGTTTTATTCACCGAGAAGCGTGATAAGACTAATGAAACCTACCTTATATAGGATAAAAGTGATAGAAGATGTGAATTTGTTCCATGATCCTATGTCTGAGGGGACTTATATCGTAAAAGTTCTGGCACCCATTCTTGATTATTTCTTTGAAAAAAAGAAAAAAGATTGGCGTGTTTCATATGGAGAAACTTGCCTCAAGGCATGTGCGAAAGATGTTAATTCCAGTAAAAAAGTTGATGAACGCCGATTCTCAGGAAAAAAGATTGATACAATTATTTGTATGAGAGAAGAAGATAAAGAGTTCTCAGTAACCGAAGTCAGTGGACCCCCACTGAAAAATGATTGGACACTCTTCATGGGTGATCGTATGAAGATCATGAAGATGTTGAAAACTTTAATGAATCAATTCGCCAAATTAAATCCAAGCTCCGATATCACATTAATCAGATTATTTGGGTTACAAGCTTATTGTAAGTCTTTAATATTTTTTGTATATTATTGTTACTATGCATTGCTAAATTTTATGTTTTTTATAGTGAATGAGTTGACTATATACGAATTCAAACTAAAATATACCGAGGTTTACACAACAGAAGCAATACTGACATTTCCTCTACCTAAAACATGGGCAGATATGGTGAATTCTGATAAAGCTATAATGGGCTTGTTGAAGTATGAGGTTCGTATAAACGGATTTTAGAAAAAGAATACGGAGAACACAAAATTAATTTTTAATTTTTTTAAATTAGCACTTATTATCTGAAAGCTCAAAAACTATACGAGATTTTTTGTGGGCCGGTCATGGTATGATTGAAGCTGTTAAGATGACGACCAGAATGATTCATACTCCTGAAAGCACCGAGAAAGCTAAAAATATTAAAAGTACAAAAAAAAAAATGAAGAAAAAGAATTGAGTTCGGGATATTTTTCATTCTGTAAATTGAAGTTCTCAGCTATATCTATATTGCATAAATAAAGATTTTTTTTTACTTAAAGTGATGTGTATATGCATCGGAATATAAAATGCATATGATCAAACCGTTCCCTTGGGGAACTAACAGAATCATGTGATTTTAATCTAGCCCAGAAATGTATATGCTGTGTGATCTAATACTCCTCGTGAAATCTAATTAGCCGAACACCTCGTTATTCGATAGTACCAGGGAGTAGGGCTGTTAAAAAGTTCATCAGAGTCGGTCTTTGAGTCTGTTTGACCTGAATTACTTGGGTTCGGAACTTAGGTTCAGATCAATATAGTCACATTATATATTAAATAGATGTAACTACTGTATATACTGTATGTCTAAAAAAATATCGTCATTATTTAAGTTATTATTTAAACTGAACAAAGAGTATTTGATAAATTAGGTAAGATCATTACGCGATTTAATAATACAAACGATTATTGTTATGATGGTTTCAAAAAAATTGTCAAGACGGTTTAACAAAAACCTTTGAAAAAAATGGTTAGTATCAATTTATTTAAAATTATAAAAGTAACATTTTTTTTTTTTAGATTCATCTACAAATCCATCCGCTCCTGTATCTTTCATAATAGACTCTTTAACTCTTACATCTTTTGAAAATTCATTAAATTCTGTACCTTTTGAAAATTCACCAACTTTGACAACTGAATATTCATTTGATTCTAGTCTTTCTTTTGAAGATATATCAAATTCTATTAAAAGTAATAGTAATTTAGGAGAAGAAAATATCAGTAATACTAACAATATAAAAAAACAAAAAACAAATGAAAACTTGCACCTATCCATGCTTATCTTGACATACTTGACGATGACTCCCACAATTGCAAACTTTGTAGTTATACTGTAAATGGAGAATAAACATATCATTATTAACAATAACTCGTCATTTTGAGAATAAACATCACATATCTTACAATATCTTAGATGAAACACAAAAGTTATGCATCTTTCTTTATATTCAATAGTTGAAAGAAACAATAAAAATCATATAAAATTATCAAACAAAGACTTATGAAAATATATTATTTTTAGTCAACAATCTTTTTTTGTAATTGAAGAAGCTTCTTTAATCAAATTATTTAACAATTTTAATCCACATTGTGAAATCTCTTACCATCAAACAATTTCTACAACTGTCAAAAAGCAATTCAAATTAAATAAAAATAAAATATGTAATATTTTTAAAAAAAATTTAATAAAATTAGCATTTACAATAGATACATGAATTATGTATATATAATAATGTTTTCTTGAAGTTACTGTTTATTGAATTAGTTTCAAATGGTCAATCAAAACTTTTTTTTCAATCTTATTATTTTATATAATTCTTATACAAATAATTATTTTAAAAAAAACAATTCTTGAATATATAGAGGATCTAGAAATCAAAAATAAATTAATTGATTTCATAATAGACAATGTAACAAATAATCAAAGCTATTTAAAATATCTTTAAAGATCTATAAATATTGATCTTACATATTTACTACATATAGTATATATTTTAAATTATGTTATAAAAATAAGATAATAAAAATACATTAATTAAACAAAAAAAGTATATTAATTTAATAACAAAATATTAAACTCATCTTTACTTTTAAAAGATATAAAATAAATTTTATAATTTTAAATTATTCATTTCTTTATTCTATACTTAATGTTGAAACTAGATAGAATTCTATTTATTTTATACTTGAACACTTTTTTAAAATTCATGATAATATCTATAGTTTTATACAATATTATCTTGAATTAAATGAAATTTATTTAAATTTAGATAATTAGAAGATAATTAATGATATTATTCAACTTTTAAACCATTTTATAAAACAATATTGATTCTATTAAATACTTTATCATTTATTCAAGAATTATTATAATTAATTATTAAAAGACTTTTTATACATTTCAACTATTATATTTCAAATATTAGCATATATTATGATATAGTACAGAATATGAAAAACAAATTAACAAATTAAAATCTGTGGGTCTATAGTATAGTGATAATACTCCAGATCACAAGCACAATATCTATAGTTCAATATCACTTAAGAATCAAATTAATAATTATTTTTTTAATTAGATTTACTGGATATCTTTTAAAAGTTATACTCACTTAATCAGTACTAGTCTAAAATTAGGTTAGGCTATATGAAAATGTGGCTTCTGACCTTTTGTTGATTAAAAACTAAAATCTAAGATTGTACTATTGAAAAAATTGTATAAAAAAAGGCTTCTGGTCTAACCTACCATAAATATTTTAAAACCATTCTACCTTGATAACCTTCAAAACCCCTTCTCTTAGCTCAGAATATTTCAATCTAAAGATTCACTTAATTAAAAATCAATTAATAGGAACTAATCTGATATTACAAGTGATAACAAAAAAAGTAACATACCTTCTTCTAAGGTCTGAGCAAATTATATTTAAGAATATTAAAGAATGTTCACATTTTATTAAGTATATACAAAAAAGAACTAGTTTAATTAAATAATAAAGTAAAAATAAGCCCAATATCAATTAACCTAATATTGCCATTTATAACTATATACTAATCATCTGATTACTACTTAAATATACTTACTTTAAGAATAATATTAGATCTAACTAGATAAGTTGCAATGGGTTATTTTTTTTTTCCTTTAAACCACTGTCAGGTTAGTTATGTGTGCTTTATTAAACATAATGTAGGCTATACTATTTACAGTGTCACTAAAGCTAGAA